GTCCTTGAGGGAAATTCTTGTATTTGAGTTTGCAAAAACTGGGCAACATATCTTTACTTTAAAACATGCAGGAATTTCTAACCTGCTATTTGGTGGACACCAAGTTCCAAAATCACTTCTGTATTTCCCAATTTTGAAGAGCTTACAAAACAAATCTGGGACAGGGCCATCTGCTGTTACGTTTTCTGATCATCAGCCAATATGGGAAACGTCAACATCATGTGTCAACACCATCAAACGACTTACTTCATCACAGGGCCAGCCCTACACCCCTAGACAGACAATTCTGCCTTTAGAGGTCAAATCACCTGTTTGATAGAAAAAACAAGGACATATTATGGAGGCAGCCATATTGTTACGTGGGTCAGTACAGGGGTGTATGAGGCACACCTCAGCTTCTGTTTCAGCCATGGCAAGAAATCATGTAATTGATTTTATTTTTTTGACCTTCCATGGAATGTGACATCCTAATGTCGTTGTTTCCTCCTAATGTTCCTTACCTTATCTCTTGTAGAATATCCATGAACACATAGCACTTGTGTTGTTTCATCCTCTTTAGCTATTGCTATATTGGCTTACTTTGTGTATCCAGGGCTGTATCATAATATGGAAATTTATTCCCAGTGTTTAGCAGAGCCGAAAAAGAGGGCGCAGTAGCGATTTTCAATATTTTATAAGTGGTGATAGGTTAGATAATAGTAGTGGGTACAAGGGATATTGGTGGCCTGATGAAGGTGCATGCATGCTCTGAACATGTGCCACGCATGCTGCTGCTGTACCTGGTGCTGACATCACTTCTACCCGTCCTGTGGATCCACACCAAGCCGGAAGTGCTGGGAGCCACCAGCACAGCCAAGGACAGTGCATTGGAGACCTGCCTGCAGAAGGACCAGACAGGAGTTGTGCAGCAGGACCAGACAGGAGTTGTGCAGCGGGACCAGACAGGAGTTGTGCAGCGGGACCAGACAGGAGTTGTGCAGCGGGACCAGACAGGAGTTGTGCAGCGGGAGCAGACAGGAGCTGTGCAGCGGGAGCAGACAGGAGCTGTGCAGCGGGAGCAGACAGGAGCTGTGCAGCGGGAGCAGACAGGAGCTGTGCAGCGGGAGCAGACAGGAGCTGTGCAGCGGGAGCAGACAGGAGCTGTGCAGCGGGAGCAGACAGGAGCTGTGCAGCGGGAGCAGACAGGAGCTGTGCAGCGGGAGCAGACAGGAGCTGTGCAGCGGGAGCAGACAGGAGCTGTGCAGCAGGAGCAGACAGGAGCTGCACAGTGAATGACACCAGTTTGACAAATGCACATTTGATTACTACTATTGAGAGTTTTGTGGAAATTAATTATTTTTTCCATTGCTGCACTTAGATGGCGCTGCTTCTCTTCTTTTTGTGGTTCACATAGAGTTTCTTCTAGCTCTTTTTGAATTGGCTGCCACTGAGTCAAGTATTGTTGGATTATCCCTTAACCACCTTTGGACTTTAAGGACTTTACTTGTGTTGCTCATATACTAGCCATCACATAATACATCTGGTCTTTTTCCTCTTAGTGCACCAAAATATCTCTCTTGTTGAAGGACTGTTTACTGTCTCTGAAGTGGAAGGCTGGAGGGAAATGCATGTTGCCTGGCTGTGCAGGACTATAGGGGTGCCCAGATCTTCAGCAACTTCTTAGGGGGTAGTGCTACAACTACTTGGCTCCACCCCCCCTGCTCACCTTGTCACAGGATTTGACTGACAGTAGTAAAAAAATGTTCAGACTTCAGAACCACTTGCCGTGCAGAGGATTTATCCCCCTTCCTGACCAGGCCATTTTTTGTGATACGGCGCTGCATTACTTTAACTGACAATTGCACGGTCATGCAATGCTGTACATACATGAAATTTGTCCCTTTTTCCCCACATATAGAACTTTCTTTTGGTGGTATTTGATCACCTCTGCGTTTTTTTTTCTTTTTTGCGTTTATAAACAAAAAAAATACAACAATTTGAAAAAAAAATAAAATATTTTTGACTTTTTGCTATAAAACATATCCAGTAAAAAAAAATTTAAAAAATCAAATTTCGTCAAATTTATGCCAAAATGTATGTCTTTGCTAAAAATAATGACAATACAGGTAAATTAATTTGGTTTATGTGGAAGTTATAGTATCTACAAATGGCGGTATATATACTGGGATTTTTTTAAAATAATTTTTATACTAGTAATGGCAGTGATCAGCAACTTTTAGCGGGACTACGGCAGGCATTCTGACACTGGGGGTAACTGACTTGGTGTGACTGACATTCCCAGTGACACTAATACAGTGATCAGCACTAATAAAAAGCACTGACACTATACTAATGGCACTGGGCAGGAAGGGGTTAACATCTGGAGTCGATCAAAGGGTTAACTGTGTGCTGTTTTACTAGGGATACAAGCTGCTGTTGTTTACACAGACCTCTCACCTTTCACTGTTCCTCGGCGATCGCTGGGTGCCGATGGGGAAATTTCCGGCCAGGACCCGTTGATCGACCTCTGTAACCGCCAATGGCAGCATGGGTAGGGCGGTGCACATACGCCCCCTACCCAGAAATGCAAAATCACATATATATATGTCAATTTGCGCAGCCCTGCCACCCTGTATCAGTAGTTCTGCTATAGGGAGGTCTGGAAGTGGTTAAAGCATTCCCTGCATTAAGGTAAAAAAAGTATTTTTTTAAATTGTTTTCTCACCCCCCTTTATATATACCAGAGCCAATCTCGATCCAGGACTGTGCCCATCTGCAGCAGCTCTCTCCTCTCTACTTTGCCTTTGGCTCCTGCTGCTGTCATTCAATTCCTGGGAGGAGGAAGCAGAGATGGGGCTAAGCCGCACTGTGTGGCAGTAGATGCACACAGTCCTGCTGGGGATCGAGCCAGCAGGTATGCCCCTAAATCAAGGGGCTTGCAAAGAGTGCCGGCGGGGGACTTTCTCTGTGGTATTGCACAGAGCAGGTAAGTATAACATGTTTATTTTAATTATAAAAAATCTTTACAACCTCTTTAACGCTCATAGCTCAAAAAAGTACACAATTTATGGCTTCTATAGACTTCAATGGGAAAAAACATGCACAAAAAAGAGCAAAAAACACACGTTTTTTCCCTCAGTAACTGGTTATCCATTGGCTAAAAATAATTTTAGACAACATTCAAGACTCCCTAAAAACAGTGCAAAAATGCACATATTTCACATTTGTCCACCAGTAACTAGCTTTCTAGTGACTAAAAATATAGAAAAAATTAGTCTATGCCTGTACTTACAAAAGACTGCAAAACAAATGTGAATCCAGTCTAGTGTTTGGTAATAAGGAAATGCCAAGTATGTTGCAATAAATACTGGTTTTACCAGATAATAGTCCACGGTGGGGAAAATATGAACAGAGGATATGACTAAGCTGAGTGCATTTCATTTGCTGGATTTATAGGGCACCTCCTAACCACCAATGCCATTTTTTTTTTTAAACTCCCTAAGTGTAAAGTATAGTATATTTTTGGCTTTGGATAGAGTATAGTGTCACTCTGGTGACACTGTACTGCTAGGGTGACAGTATGTTAAAAAAAAACCATAAATAATAATATAAAAAAAATGTAAAACCATTTTTTGAAAAATTATAATTTTTGGTTATAAACTAATTTTGGGTTTTTTTTTTATTTTTTATTTTTTTTACTAAAAAGACAACTGAATACATTTTGGGCAAGATTTATGAAGAAAGATTATTTGCAAAATTTTATAAGAAAAACTTTTTTTCAACATTTTTGGACTTTTTAATTTATATAGCAAAAAAAAAAAAATTAAATCCCAGTGGCGAGTAAATACCACCAAAAAAATGCAAAAAAATTCATATGGGTAGTGTTGCATGACCGCGCAATTGTCATTCAATGTGTGATAGCACTGAAAGCTGAAAATTGGCCTGGACTGGAAGGGGGTGAAAGTGTTCGGACTTGGAGTGGTTAAACGTCTATGGGGAAAAAAAACCCTCAATTCTTGTACTTTTATGAGCGAAAGGCATTTAGTTACACATGACAGAATGGTCAGATGTGAACAAGGGCTATTGAAAACAACAGGTTTATCGCTCGTTGAGCATTTTTGAGCTTCAAGCTACAAGTTCCAAAATGCTCAAGTGCGAACAGTGCCTTAAAAACTGGATTTTCAATGGCTTTCTATGCAGGTGACAATGTTCTCAAGGACAAATAGAGGGTTTGTTTGTTTTTTAGTTTTGGATTGGAGGGAGAGGGGTTAGAACTTCAGGATGATATTGATGTCTGTGCCCCTTTTGGGAAGATCCACGTTCTTTAGTTGTCCTGGTGAACAATGTCACCCGGACTGGAAGCAATAAGAAATCCACAACTTTGTGTTGTCACCAGAACAGGAATAGAGGAGAAATCCTCCAATCGTCATAAAATTTTCTGTTGTCCTCTATCTAAAGCTCATCACACACATTACAATCTGATTGTACAATCTCCTTTAGATCTACCAACAACTATGTAGTGCAAAGATTGCCTGATTGGATACACATTGTGTAGATAAGGGTACATGGTTCTCCTATTACTTGCTTTTGGTAAATCTAAAGTTGTTTTTTTTTATCAGATTGTTACATGTATAGTGACACCAGGAAGGGATTCCCTTCATTTTAGCAGATTTCCTCTCACTTCCTGTTGTGTTTACACAACAGGAAGGAAAAGAAAATCTCCCCCAGTGGGGCACAGGAAAGTAATCCTGACAGGGGTTTAAACCACTTGCCTACTGGACACTTATACCCCCTTCGTGTCCAGGCCAATTTTCAGCTTTCAGCGCTGTTGCACTTTGACAATTGCGCGGTCATGCAACACTGTATCCATATGACATTTTTTATCATTTTTTTCACACAAATAGAGCTTTCTTTTGGTGGTATTTAATCGCCACTGGGGTTTTTTTTTTTTTGCACTATAAACGAACTATAGCAAAACATTTAAAAAAACTGTTTTTCTTTGTTTCTATTATAAAATTTTGCAAACAGGTAATTTTTCTCCTTCACTGATGTGCGTTGATGAGGCTGCACTGATAGGCAGCACTGATGGGCAGCACTCATGGGCGTTGATGAGGCTGCGCTGATAGGCAGCACTGATGGGCACTTCTAGGCTTCACTGATAAGGCAGCACCGGTGGGAATTGATGAGGAGGCACTGATGTGCACTGACTGGGGGAACTGACTGATGGCACTGCTGGGTGGCACTGCTGAGTGGCACTGATGGGTGCCACTGCTGGGCACTTTTGGGGCTGCACTTATAATCAGAGCACATAATCGGTGCCGATGTCCTCTGTAAAACTTGCCGATTATCGGCAGTACTTTCCTCACACTGTGACATCGTAAGGAAAGTGCTGCCAATAACTGGCAAGTGTATGTCTTTGGACACAGCTGATTACGTGGTAAAAGACTGCTGTGATTGGCCGTTTACCTTGTCATGTGATCAGCTGTGTCCATAGGACACAGTGATCACAGACAATGCCGTGTGCCCGTTCTGGGAGGACGTCATATGACGCCCTCCCAGAACTGGACAACCGCGCTGTAGCTGTCATTCGGCTATAGCCCAGTTGTCAAGTGGTTAAAGGCCCATCTCCAGGGAAAGTGCTCCTATCCAGTGAGGCTGCCCCTACACTGCAAGGATTAAAGTGACACTGAACTCTGAAATAACCCACATGGAAGAAAAATATATTTTTTAAATATATTTAAAAAATATTCTTCCCAAATATATTGACATATATTTTGAAATACTACAATTTTTGTCCGTATTCAATATATTTCAAAATATATTGTTTATATATATATATATATATATATATATATATATATATATATATATATATATTGAAATGCATTTTTAGGACAAAATATATGAAAAATATTTTTAAAAATACATTTTCAAATATACTGTATGTCTTTAACAATACATTTAATCTACATTTTTGGAATGCATTTACAAATATATGTAAAAATATACATTAAAATGACTTTGTTTAAAAAATATCTGAAGAATATATTTAAAAAAATTATATTTTTTAAAAATATTTTGTAATATATAAAAAATGCATTTCAACATGCAGTATATATAATATATTGAATATGGCCAAAATTGTAGCATTTTAAATATATGTCAATATTTTTAAAATATATTTAAAATATATTTTTCTTCTGTGTGGATTATTTCAGAGTTCAGTGTCACTTTGATCCATCTTTGATGTAGGGGCAGCCTCACTGGATAGGAGCGCTTTCCCTGGAGATGGGCCTTTAACCACTTGACAACTGGCACATGGCATTGTCTGTGACCGCTGTGTCCTATGGACAGATATATTTGGGAAGAATATTTATTAAATATATTTCAAATATATTTTTCTTCCTTGTGGGGGGAAAAAAAAGTTCTATTGAAGTATGCATTCCTAATTCAAACATTTTCTGCTCTAATAAGACTTCCTGAGGGTGGCTACTGTCACTATTCATGGTCACCACTGTATGTAGGAACATAGCCACCCTTTCTTGCTCGCTCCCAAGCTGGACTATGGAGTGCACAACACTGCAACTAACATGCACCGCTCATTCCAAACAAAAGAAGTAAGGGGGGAAAATGAGAGGTTCAGGAGTTCACTGAGAATGTTGCAAGGAGGCATGAAAACACTGTGAGAAATGATTTAATGAAAAATAGATTACAGGCCCTTTAGTAGTGGATGTGTGTGTGGATTATTTTTTTGGAGAATGAGGATATCATTTAGTATCACTTTAAATGCAGGAGACTAGAAGCAGTTTTGCCCAGTTCTCTCCTCAACCAGCAGCTGGCGCTCCTCTGCTGCCCTATACTGCCCTATGCTCCAGCAGTGGACTGTTCCTGGATGTTCTCAGGTCCAGTGCAGGGCTATGGGCAGGAAGCATGAGGGAGAAGAGGTTGTGGGGACCAGTCTTACAGCCTGGAGGGAGCAGGAGAGGAGGATCGGGTACAGGCAACCCCCAGTACATGGAAGGATTTTGACTTTCCCTGGAGTTCAGTTTTAAAGTGATACCAAATGATATTCTTCATCAAATATAATCCTTATATATACAATACATAAAAGAGAAGTATTTATTTATTTTAAAATCATACTTACCTAGGTGGATGCAGCATTGATCTGATGCTGCATTTGTCCCCCGCCAGCTCTAAGAGTGAGAACTGAGTGATCAAACACGATCGCTCAGTTCTCCCTGTTGCTTTGAGCAGAGAGCTGGGATTATCAGTTATTAGGCTGTGGAGGGGGCAGGAGTGGCTGGCTCCGGTTCGCAGCGGGTTGCTAAGAGGCTGAGCCAGGCGCCAATCCAGGCTCCTGGTGGATCCCGACCATATGGTCTGGATCTTTACCCAGCTTGGACCGGTTCTGTAACATCAGCCCATCCACTGTCAGATGAAAATGGGTCACAGGAGTACAGAACTAACTGCATTTCTGTGATCCACAGGAGTAAAGGATTACTGTGTTTATCTGCCTCCTTGTAATGCCCTGCATGAGCTCCCAAACCTCTCCTTCCCCCCCCCCCCCTCCATTTGTTTGGAATGAGCAGCACACATTAGTAGCAGTCATGTACACTGCTCTATGCACATTACAGGTCTCATAGTCCCTAGTCCATCTCAGCAGTAAGGGGGGTGGCTACAGTGGGACCATGGAGGATGAAAGTAGTCACCCTCCAACAGGAAGTCAGATTGCAGCTGCGAAGAAAAAAAAAAAATGATTTGGAGGAAACTGACAACAATATTGTTAAAAAAAATATAGCAGAATCATTTTTTTAAAAATTTTTTTTTTTTTTTTTATTGTTTAGCATCACTTTAGCTCATCCCTAGTCTATCAAAAAATAATAAAAAAATGTTTTGCCTTTTTAGACACACTGTGAAGTCATATGCTGTGCATCTCTCTGTCTGGGTACAAGATTTGTCTGTTTTCAGCACAGAAATGAGAAAAATCCTTTCAGTGGTGTTCTCCTATGATGATGTGTAATAGGTGAGATGCCCCCCCCCCCCCCCCAGGAGTAGCAATCAGTGCAGAACAGCTGTGACAGGTACTGGGAGTGACATCATCACCACACCCCCTGCCCTCCCCTGCCACTGCCTGCTATGTAAAGCATGTGTTGGATGCACTGGCTGAGCACAGACACATCAGCCTGCACTGTGAGTACTCTGCCCTATGGGCATCATCATCACCCCCCGCCTGCTCCTGGCTCCCCTCTGATCTCTCTCTTCTCCCTGCCCTCCTCCTCTTCTTCTCCCTGCCCTTCTCCCACCATCTCTCTCTATAGTGACTGCTCGCATGTATGTTACAGCAGTGCTTGTAGCTTCTATAACTAGGCATGCCAAAACAAGGACTAGGACTGGACAGATTACTAGCTGTCACCATAGGGAGAAGCATTACAGCCAGCTATGGGAGACTCAAGAAAACCTGTAGTGAGAGAACCAGGCATGGTGCCATTGCTGATCTGAGATGGCTGCCTGCCTGCCTGGCTGTCCCGTGGCATCATTTGAGATTCATTTTGATTTGATATGCACAGTGCTTCAGGAAGTAGTGGAGCCAGGCCAGGCAGACAGCATTTTCAGATACAGGTCAGTAGTGTTGGAGCTGCAGGCTTCCTTGCAGCTCCTGCAGCTGTGCATGGCAACCAATCAGCTTGTTCAGTTAAACGTTTGACAATAAAAGCTAGAAGCTGATTGGTTGCCATGCGCAGCTGCTGCTGTTTTAGTACATTCCCCTTGTGTTTCTGAATGAAGTGGAGAGACTTGAATAAGGCTCCAATCACACTCAGGGGTGGACTGACCATTTGGAAACTCGGGCACTGCCCGAGGGCCCGGGGTCAGTAGGGGGCCCCATGAGATGCCCCTGGTACCTTTTTCATAGGCTTTTTTGAGTTTGGGCAAGGACACAGGGGCCCCATGATCCCCTATTGCCCGAGGGCCCCATGAGTTGTCAGTCCGCCCCTGGTCAAGAGAGTCCTGCTCATGACAGCTTACAATCTAAGGGCTCGTTCACACCAGCCTTGATCTCTGAAGAGTGATACATGTTCAGATCGCTTTTGAGAGAGCATTTTGACAAGCCTGGTTTAACTCTTTGATCGCTGCAATAGTGATGCACACATTTGTGGGGTGCTTAGAGAAAATGACAGGGGGTGTAATTCCTGCTGTAGCATGTGTACACTCCCCAGCTGAAGCAAAGGGGGAGCAATTGGGGAGGGCAGTAAAAGCACAGCTCAACTGCTAGTGTGAACGAGTCCTAACCTTTACAACATAATTAATGGGTGAGGACTTGCAGGACAAAGTACAGGAATACAAAGCAATGTATGGTTAATGATATGTGAACTTTAGTTTAAAGCAGTGGTCTCCAAAATGCGACCCTTTGCTTGCATTATCCGACCCTTGAAGCAATATTCCTCGCACTGACCCCCAGCGATGGGGCACTGTTGCCGCCACTGACCCCAGCGATGGGGCACTGTTGCCGCCACTGACCCCCAGCGATGGGGCACTGTTGCCGCCACTGACCCCCAGCGATGGGGCACTGTTGCCGCCACTGACCCCCAGCGATGGGGCACTGTTGCCGCCACTGACCCCCAGCGATGGGGCACTGTTGCCGCCACTGACCCCCAGCGATGGGGCACTGTTGCCGCCACTGACCCCCAGCGATGGGGCACTGTTGCCGCCACTGACCCCCAGCGATGGGGCACTGTTGCCGCCACTGACCCCCAGCGATGGGGCACTGTTGCCGCCACTGCACTGTTGACTCACTGACCCCCAGCGATGGGGCACTGTTGCCGCCACTGACCCCCAGCGATGGGGCACTGTTGCCGCCACTGACCCCCAGCGATGGGGCACTGTTGCCGCCACTGACCCCCAGCGATGGGGCACTGTTGCCGCCACTGACCCCCAGCGATGGGGCACTGTTGCCGCCACTGACCCCCAGCGATGGGGCACTGTTGCCGCCACTGACCCCCAGCGATGGGGCACTGTTCCCCACACTGGGCACAGCCAGCCCCCCCTAAAGCCTGAAGGAACGTTTGAATACCTGTGGTTTAAAGGGACAGAATTCCCCAATTTCATGCAATCTGAGATCCTTGGATTACCCACTTTTGGCCAGCAGATCACTCCTTGCTGAGCACGCAAGCATTGAAAAGCTTATTGCCCTTTCTACACTTCTGCTCCCTATTCCCCGTCTCTTTTTTTCCTCCTCCGCCCCTCTTTACATCTCTCCTACCCATATTGACCTTCTTAACTGTTCATGCTTACCTTCTACTTCTCTTTATGGACACACTCTTCCTACCCTACACTTCCCCCTCCCACACCAATAATGTGTCCCCTGCTGCATTGCTGGGATGTGGCCTCTGGCAGGTGGAACCTGGAAATGTTGGCCACTCAACATTCTACCAGTGGCTGTAGTTGTGAGGATTTGTGGGACAAAAAATGGGAAAAGTTGTGTTTTTCAGGGGTATTTAGATTTTTATAAATTAGTGACAGTCTCTTTAAAAAACATTTTCA